ACCCATGTTTTTATTTATGCTAATCAATTTATGGGTGGAGATACTACCCCTGAGCTTCTCTGTTTTTGTTTTTTTTGTCGTTTGATTTATGAAGGGCCTATGATTGAATGCTTTTGTGCCCCTACTCGACTTGCCCATTAAAATATTAGAAGTTTTTTTTTTTTTATGTTTTTGCTGAAGTTATTACGAATTTGTTTAAAGGGTTCTGACTTCTTACTTCGGGAAATCTTGAAAGCTTTTATTTTGATGCTTTATTTTTTGTGAAAGCTTTCTATGTTCCCTATACAACATAGAAGTTCTATGTTCTCCTTACCATCAGCCGTCCATGTTTTATCAAGAGAGCCACTCACCGTTTGATTTAGATTCGACATCTCAAAGTATTTTCTTTTTAATTTTTTTAATACAATATGTTTTTTTAATATGAAATTTGGTAATGCCATCTTCTCATTGGGGCGCACCAATAAAAAATATTAACAATAATTTTTAGATAAAAAATAATGACCAAAATACCCTTGAAATTTTTAGGGGTATTTTGGCCATTTTATTTTATTGAAAATAATTTTTGATATATTTTTCGTTAGTGTGAGTTTAATATAAGAATGGACGTCCAAAATTTAGTGTCAAAACAGTTTATAGGAAACAAATTTAAAAATAAAACAATGTAGAGACATGATATTGTGATTGGGGCAATCTTAGCCCTCCATTAAAAAATAGACAGTTAGATAAGGGGGAACATAGAAAGCTTTCCCTTATTTTTTATTATCTTTATGATTTAGGATTGATTTATAACTTTTTTTGGCAAGATTATTTTATTTTTTTTTAATTTTTGAATTTAGGACATCAAACATTAGTTCTTAAGCTTTTAAGGTATGTATGGTAATTACTTTTTTCATATATCTTTAATTTTGGGAAATTTATTGAACTGTCTTCGAGATGAATGGTTTAGCGTCGTTGTCTCAAAATAACTTCCTCTAATCAACTCTTTTTTATAAGGAGAAACTATTTCAAATTTTAAGTTTTAGAGAGAAATATCTTAAAATTTTTTAGAGAAAAATTATATCGAACTTTAAAGGGAGAAGTACATAAAAATCTTTTAGAGAGAGAAACGATCTCAAAATTTAGAGAGATCACAA